CCAGCTTGCCCGTCGCGGACCCCGGCCGGGAGCCAGAGCCTACCGCCGCCGCGGCGGTGGCGACGGCGGCGGGGAGGCTGCTTGTACTGCTTGTACGACTAAGGGGGTCACCCGGCGGAAGCGATAGCTGACCGGATCCGCCGCCGCCGCCGGTGGTGTTGGCGGTGCGACCGTTGGCGACAGAGCCGCCGTCTGCCGGGACCGCCACCGCGATCCTGCCTTGGACCTTCACCGTTTTATGTACGACGTACGGCTGTCGTACAGCGTCGACCTCACCTTCGTCCAGCAGCACGGCACTATCATGGTCGTACAAGTTCTGCGGCTGCGAGAAGCCCTCGGGCGGTAGTCCTGCCGCCGGCTGTAAGCCGCCGCCGCCGCCACCGCCGCTGGCCGCTACGAACCCTTCACTTTCCGAACCCGTCCGAAAACGCGGCGGCGGCGGCGGCGGCGGCGGCCGGAGTGCGCCGCCATCGTCACTGCCGCCGCCACCGTTAAGAACAGTTACCGCCGTTAGGCTCGTTCCTCCCATCTCTCCGCGGACAGTCGCAGCGGCAGTAGCACTAGCAGCAGCAGCAGCGGCAGTAGCAGCAGCAGCAGCAGCGGCCTGGGGGGTTTCTAACGATGCTGCAGCGGGTATAGATGTCCTGGTATCCATTGAAGCTGTGGTCGGCATCGCCGCTGCGCTGGCGGCGGCGGTAGGCAGCGGCGAGGCGCTCAGCTCGTCGTACATTGCCTTCACTTGGCTAATGAAGGTGTTGCAGTACGCATCCAGGTCCTTCGCCACCACCGCCACCGCCACCGCCGCCGTCGGGTTCAAGGGGATCGAGGGGGGAGGCAGTAGAGGAGCAGGAAGGGGGTTCAAAAGGTCCTTGCCAACTATTAACGGACATCACCTGCCATCTCTCCATCCTATGACTTCCTTCGCTCACCTTTTGCGGCGGCCATGAAGCTGCAGCAACCCCAGCGGTAGGCCTACTTCCCGCGTTGGCAGCAGTAGCAGTAGCAGTAGCAGTAGCAGTAGCAGTAGCAGTAGCAGTAGCAGTAGCAGCAGCAGCAGTCGCGGTCCGGATGGGGACGCGCAAGGAAAACACACCGCCGGCGAGAATCACCAACACGTCTGCAGGTTTGTAATATGTTCATGTGTGGGGGGGGAAAAGAGGAAGGGGGATAAGGGCAGGGGGAAGAGGAAGGGGGAAAAGGCAGGGGTTAAGGGAAGGCGGAGTGATAGGGCAATGGGGCCTCACACGACACCGCTCGGGCGGAGACGCACCTTGAGGCAGCGCCTGATGTGCTAAGCTGGAGTTGGTGGAGGTGGAGGGGAGGGTTTGTTCGGGGGCCCGGAGCTCAACAAGCACCTGCGCTAGTCGGGCACGGGATGGGATGGGGTGGGAATTTTTTTTATGTGAGACGGGATTTCTTCCTGGGAAAAAGGGGGGAACTTTCTCCCCATCGGCCGATGGTGGCCTGGCTGGTGGTGGCATTGGCATGGGGAGCTGGATTGGGGCTGCTTTCCTCCATTTTTCATTGATTGGATTAAGCAAGAGGTTGTAAGCAGGGGGAAGGTGTTGTATAGGGAGACGAGAGATTTGGGTTTACACGTGCGTGATTTAGGAAAGCGCGGGGCCCGGTGGCGAGGGGGCGATGGTGGGTGCATCACTGCATTCTCGTGGATCGTCGCCGGGGACGATAACAATTCGTCGCCAACCCCGCAGCACCTCCATGGTTTCACCTTGCTGGTGCTCTTCGGAGGCAGCTCGAGGACCAGATGGGGCGGCTTGGGCTTGAGCTCCGTGTGAAGATCAGCTGGCGCGGTCAACCGGAAGTTTGGCGAGAACGGATACGAGATGACCGTGAGCAGCGCGCGGTTGGTGTTATTCTTGATGAGCAAGTTTCTGGTTTGGGGTGCAGAGGAAGGTAACGTAGAGCTGTTTTTAAACACGACTTCGCTGGGCACTGTGTACACCTCGGCTTCCATTATCTTAGAGGGCTAGACCGCTTTGCGCGGACATCAGCGTGACGAGTACTTAAAGCTATAAGTCAGCCCGTATTAAGGATATATGTAATGACAATCATTTCGAGTAAAAAGACAAATGCCAAAGCGGCGATTTGCAACTGTTTCTTTTCTGTCGTACGACTCCCTTATTTCCATAATCCTATACGCAAAATTGTCACCACCAAGCTTGTCCGGGAGCCTGAGAATGATATGTAGGGCCGTGGAGGGCGGTTGTTGTCCGTGTGCATTACAACTTTTGCAATGCGAAGTCCTTCTCATTATAAACACGCAGTTACTTTCCAAGCGAAAGCTTTGTGAAGGGTCCCTCGGAACCGGATGTGCAGCTTGCCAGGATTAATAATTTAAACCCCCTGGGGTTCGAGAGATCTTCCCTTTTCCGACATGACCCTTGGAATGCAATCCGTGATGTATATTCGTTAGTAGCTGAAGACAGGAGGAGGACAGGGGACATGTGCCACAGTAACTGTCACTTGTTTCACTTGTGCGACGCTAGGACTTCTCCAAGGAGTTTCTCATCAAACCGCGGGCATGCGTGTAAGTATGAAATTTGGAGTGATAACACCAAACTATATTTTAGGCCTTACATCTAGCATCTAGTGCTCGTCCCACTGAGAATAATGAACCAGAATAATGAGTCACGTGCTAGTTTCCTATCATAATTGTACTTTAAAGGACTCAGAACCTATAGGTACACACTTCCTGGCCCATAACGAAGCAGTCAAGCAAGTTTAAGCTAAGAAACCTTGCACCGAGAGTCAACAACATGACGAGCAAACGCCCTTTGCACCAGCTGCTCGTGGTCTGCTGCTTGACCAATATGATGGGCTCGACACAACGCAGTAAGAATCGTCATTGAAAGCCGCGCAAAGCCTTGCAGGTGCAAACAGTTACCGAGAAGCACTTCCGTTAGCTCACGGAACCCTAGAACCCACTCACTCTTGGCACATTTTTACGGAGCTGGGGTCACAACGTTGCCAACCATCCACTTGGTTTCGACCTTGTAACGTGCTTGCGAGTTACGCAAGCGCAGCTGCGCCCAGGCTCGCGGCCTTTCCGCTCAAACTCGAGACAAAATGCTTCCCCTCAACCTAAACACACCGCGGCGCGGCGCGGACTCGCTGCCATCTGAGTTCGAACAGCCCTTCACTACCGACGTCTTGGTAATCGGAGCAGGCATTTCGGGCCTTGCCTGCGCGGCGCACCTTCGGAGCACGGGATTACGTGTCATTGTACTGGAAGCTCGCCATCGTCTTGGCGGCCGTCTCCATACCATTGCTATTCACAGTGGCAGTGGTCTTAATGCTAGTTGCCCTCAGAAAAGCTATACGGTGGACCTGGGTGCGGCCTGGGTCCATGGCATCGGCAGTGCCGGCGCGCCCAACCAGCTTTATAGCCTGGCTTGCGAGCTGGGTCTAGGCTGCCGGCCAACTGACTACAGCGACGCGGCGGTATACACTGCGGGGGGAATTCGACTGGCGGATCAAGATGTCGCTGACATTGAGCGTCTGTGAGTTTAAATTGCGGGGGGGCCTCGCTAATCCATTCTGAAAAACCGGATGTGACTTGAGAAGCTTGAACGTGGGGGGACTATTATGAAAGCCTAATAGAAGCTACGGCTGATGATAAAAAATAGAAACTTGGTAGCCCGCTGTAACAACACACAAAAAAATGCATACGGAACTGGGGAATGTGAGTATGGTTCTCTTAACCTTTTCCTCCTTACGTTCACTTAAAAAAAACCAAAACATTTTCTAAGAGGAACTATCGGGCCTGGAGAAGCATGAGGCCACAGCATGCCTGGATGTTGGTTGTGGATTTTGGTTTTGAATTCCCGTGCTTCTCTGCTTAATTTATTTTTATTTCTTTTCCCCACGATGTCGCCCGTCGTCACGAGTCTTTTCCCGTACAAATCATATAATCATATAACAAGAAACGCTGTAACACAGCACCAGTATAAAAACGCAACGCCACCTAACTACCTCTACAGGTATCACGTCTTTGAGCAGCACCTACTCGCGATGCTCCACACATCCGACCCGGGACCGGCGCTGATGACAATCCAGGCAGCTCAGGACGCCTTCGCCGCCGCACACAGTCTGTCGTCCGCCCAGTCGGCGGCGCTGTCGTACGCTGTATCAAACCATATGGAGCATTACTGGGCGGGGGAGGCACGGAGCATGGGCGTGGCCGCACTGGACGAAGTCGTACTGCCCGGCGGCGATGTCGTACTGACGGAGGGGTATGGTGCCATGGTCGGCCGCCTCGCCGCCGGCCTGGATATACGGCAGGGGCATGAGGTGGTTGCCGTACAGTACGGCGGCAGCGGTGTCGGTAGGTCTGAAGCTGGTGTGGCGGTGACGGCGCGGGTGAGTGGCAAAGGCGAAGGCGGCGTAGTAACTCTGACGGCGCGGGCTGCCGTGGTGACGCTGCCGATTGCCGTACTGCGGTCGGGAGTCGTGGAGTTCAGTCCGCCGCTGGCGGCGGTGGATCCAGGGAAGGCAGCCGCCATCGGCAGGCTCGGCGTTGCGGTGTACAACAAGGTACGGCGGCATTGTGCCCTCCTTTTTTCGTCCTTGTGTCGTACATGGGCCTGACCTGCCGTTTACACAAACTGTGCAAGCTGGCGCAGCTTAAAGGTGACTACGATGGTGCTCCTTGTATTAGGAGTGCTGTACGCGAGTAAGGAGCTACTTTGCGATATAACAGATGAACCTGGTTTTTATGTATTTGTTAGTATGTTAGTATGCATGTTTGTATGTATGTATGTATTTGTGAAATAGAGAGGTATATCTTCACCCGTGGCAGTTGCCCAGTGGATCGCGCTCAGGTTCCGCACTCACCACCGGCATCCAACGGAATCTGCCGGGTCGCCAGCGATCCAACTCCATTCCTGGTCGGCTCGCAGGTCAACTTTCTCCCAGATCACCACCTTCATTAAATAGGGGTGCTATATCTTCCGCCAGCAGTAAGAAAATTTGCCCCCATTTGCCCCCACTGAGGATTGAACTCAGGACCTTTCCCTAACTCGGTAGTACGAAGGGAACGCTCTACCACTAAGCTATAGAGGCATGTGCATGTACATGTGAAAAAAACAAAGACCTATATACATAATACATTCATGCATGTACATATGCATGTATGTATGTATGTATGTACGTCTTCGGTGGTTTAAACACCATCTGCAACTGTCTCAGCCATGTTGGCTGTTGTTGTACCTTACCATATTACCCAACGCCATGTGTCCCTACCCAACTTGCTGCCGTAATACAGGTGGTGATGCTGTACGACGCAGCTGACGTGTTTTGGGACGACACGGCATTCATCTACCGCATTCCGGCCCCTTGGGAGGCGGGTCGTTGGAGCTACTTTCTAAACCTGCACAAGGTATCGTCGTGGGTCGTTACGTTAGGGTGGTGTGAAGCGTTATGGGTGGGGTTGGGGCCCTGTGTGTGTGTGTGTTTCATGTCTTATGTACGGCGCACTACTTTCCTCCCTGTGCCGTACTACTCAATCGTCTTATTGGACCCGCATACATGACGCATTTTGGTTTCTTATTTCGTTTATCGACTGTCTACTGCAGTCTAATGACTGATCCATAATGAAATTATGGATACTGTATTTTGCATTATCTGAATAATTGTTCGCTTGCCAATATATGTATATATATATGTATATATATATACATATGTTTTTATTGGCAACGGACAATTATTATTATTATTATTATTATTATTATTATTATTATTATTATTATTATTATTATTATTATTATTATTCATTAGTATTAGTATTATTAGTATTATTAGTATTATTAGTATTATTATCATCCGCCTGCAGCCCGCCATGGCGGAATGCTGCGTAACAGTGTTTCTTGATCCTGGAGGGCAGGAGTGGCGCCATGCAGTGGGTACTGTGCGCCACCAGAGTGTGTGTGTGTGTGTGTGTGTGTATGTCCCTTACATCGCCCGCCTAGAACCCCCCCACCCCCACCCCCCTGGTGGGAGGGAGTCACCTGCCCCCCTGGATGACTTTATCACACACACACAGACAGACAGACAGACAGACAGACAGAGAACCTTTGCGGCTGAACTTCCCCCCCTGCCCTCCTCCGTATGCTTCTTATGTAGTTATGATCTCCTCATCTTCGCCTTACACATCATCATTATCATCGTTGCCATCTCCGTCATCATCAACATACATCGTTATCATCACCATCATCACCAACAACACCAACACCACCATCATCATCCATCGCCACCACCATCCTGCATATCCGTGACAGGTAACCGGTGCGCCCATTCTCGTGGCCTTCAATCTCGGAGAGTCCGCCCGGCGACTGGAGGCAGGGAGCGATACGGAGGTGGTGCAGGGAGCGCTGCAGGCGCTGGCGGGTATGTATGGTACGGCACGTGTACGGCAGCCACGTCAGGCTGTGGTGACGCGATGGGGGAGCGACCCGCATTCCAGGTAGGAATGGGTGGGTTGGGTTGGAGTCGGTTGGGTTTTTTTAACGGTTGATGGGTGGTTGGGAATGTACAACAAGGGAGGATGGACCCCAGTCCCCTCCCGAGGGCCGCCAGGAGTACGACATGCGGAGTTTTTCGTTCTCTTCTCAATCCCAATGTACGGCTTGACGGTTTCAATTTAAAACACGTCATGTATGTATGTATGTATGTATGTATGTATGTATGTATGTATGTATGTATGTATGTATGTATGTATGTATGTATGTATTGCTTGTCCGATCGTGTGTTTGAATACCTCACTTCCACATCTCCCCCACGTCCTTCACCCCCTTCCCTGTCCTGTCCTGCCTCGTTTTTATTTCCCTGTACGACAGGATGTCGTACACGTACGTGCCTGCTGGAGTTACTGGCGCCGCATTCGACGACCTGGCTCGTCCCATTCTGGGCTGTCTGTACTTTGCTGGGGAGGCCACACACCGCCGTCACTACGGTACGGCACACGGTGCGTACGACTCCGGGCGCCTGGCGGCAGCCGCCATCCTGCAGCAGCTCCGCGTTAACGGCATCTCGCCGCCGCCGCCGCGGAAGTGGGCCCCCCTGGGGCTTTTCACGGCCAGAACGACGGCGGCGGCGGTCAGTGCAGCGCCGCCGCCGCCGCAGCAGCAGCAGCAGTTGGCCGCCAGGACACAGCCACGGCCACAGCCGCGTTGGCGATCAATTCGCGGCGGCGTGGGACGTGCTGCTACTGCCGCCACCGTCTCTGTCTTCCCAGCCGGAAGCGCTACTGCTGCTGCCGCCGCCGCCGCCGCCGAGAGTTCCGGCGCCGTCACGCCGCCGCTGTGCCTTGCGCCCACAGGCGGCATTCAGCTAGCAGAGTGGACGACCGCGGCGGCCGCTTCCCCTGCCGCTACTGCCGCTACTGTTGTTACCCCTAGCAGTAGCACAAGCAGTAGCAGTGGCTGTGGTGTTGCGGAGGCTGTGCCGCCGGAACACCTAGGGGATGTCACTCCAGGGGGGCCTGAAGACACGGGGGCTCAGGCTGGGGAGGTTCTACGTCCGCCGCAGTCTCGCGCCAGTGACGTGTCTGAGGTACCGGCAGGAGGAGGAAAAGGAGGAGGGGGAGGAAGAGAAGGAGGAGGGGGAGGTTCAGTTCGTTCCAGAATGTAGACGGCATGCATGTGCGATGGGGGGCTTGGGGAGGAACGGAACCCTAGGTATTTTTTAAAGACAAAAAAAGTGTTTGGGGATTTTTTGGGGGAGTGCTGCTACGTTGTTGTGTTGCCATGCCGTGCTATGCTACGTCACAGATGTACGGACATCACAAATAGGGCGGAAGTCGCGGGTCGCGCTTCAATAAAGAATCATGATGAAAAATGGAATAAGCTGCTAGACGTGAAGACGGTAGATCTGATCGCAGCTTGCAGTTCGCATAAAGGCACCGAACGCTTGGCTGCTACCGTACACACGTTTTTCCTGTAATTTTTTTAATCTAAAAAGACATTCCCTGTCCTGTCCTGTCTTTTCGGCGCCTTTCTTACCTTACGGAGGTTGGCCTGGTTCTAAGGAGGCCCCGTTGATTCTGTACCGTACAGAGGGTATTTGCCGTACATCTTTGAACGCGCTCTCTTGCTGTGCTGCATCCATGACTTGGTGGTTGTACGGTAACTGTACAACTGTCATAGATTCATCCTTTCTGTAGCTGTATGCACCCGTGGGGTAACCCGCCGCCGTACAGTCGTGTTGTACAAAATCGCCCGTCGGCATCCACGGAAAAAAAAAACTCTTCTAATCTTGTCACCACTTTTTGTTGCCTTTGCCTACCTGATCAGTTGCCGACATGGATTGTCATCGCTTGATGTTAAAGAAGCGCAAAGAGCGTGGGCTTGGCGAGTTTAGAACGTGACGAAGTGTTTTTGTCGCGTTGAGTCCAACATAATTCAAGTATATCTTGCAAGTTGTAGTAGTAGTTTGTGGTCATGGATGGTGGTTTGCTGTTTCGTGTTCCCTCTGTGGATTTTGCTTCAAGGCAGTTTGTAGTCGTTGGTACCTCCTGTGACAGGTTCGCTTACTATTCCAGGTTGTCCATCCACATGCCTTGTTCAACACATTATGTGGAAGGTAAAAACCGGACCGAGAGGCGTGGCGTGCCTCGCACCGGAATACGGTAGCCGAACTTTTGGAAGGCCGAGGCTTTTGTCGTGAATCTAAATCCTCAAAACGACATATTATTTAACAGGGTGAAATTTGAAACGGTAAGGAGTCGAGCCGCGTCGCTTTTTGGCCTTGTTTTTTTGCTTTGGTAATTGGCGGGATTTCCAAATTTAAATCAGGGATCTCTCTCCCTGATTCAGATGGAACATGGAAGAGGAGGAGAAGGCGGGAAGGACGAGGCGACGCCCCTCATCGAGTAAAGTGAGAGAAGGACTGTTGTGGCTGTCTTAGGGATGGCGATGGACTCGGGGCGAACAAGAGGTCGAATCTGCCGGGACAGGGATTTCATCATTGCTTTTAATGACGCGCACTTCCGTTCTCCTGTTCCCGTCCGCTTTAGACTCTTTCTAAAACGAGTTGTTGAAAAGTAAAAGGCGACTGGGACTCGTCACAAATTGATTGTTAGGAGTTAACATTTTCATTCGTCAACCGGCTGTTTTATAAACGTTGCCATTTGTTGGCTCCTTTTCCTTGCTGAGTTACACTATACATATCGTACTCCCGTACATGCCGTACGCCAGAACATTCCGCTTTCTGTCGCAAAGGGATCGTAAATCCGTCAGTACGGAAACCTCCTCGCGTACGTAAGTGAAAACGAATCTGTCATCCGTACACATTCGTACACACGCGGTACAGGCTTCCTCAAAGCAAACAAAGCAAAAACCCAATTCCTCTCATCCCCCAAATTAGGCCAGCCTATCATATTCGCCACCATGTTCTCGACTCTGTTTTACAATTAAATTATACGAATGGCTCATCGAATGTTAGTCACAAGGTACCCTGTCACCCTGGCGAAATTTTGATGGAGAGGGGCACAACTTCACCCCGGCGGCACTACCCGCCGTACTGCCACGGTGTACGGCATAACGTGTGTGGGACGAGCAACGCCGTCACATCACTGTCCGCCCGCCAGGCGCTGGCGTGTGAGTGCGTTGCGTTCCGCCAGCAGGTGGACCAGGGCGGCTTGCGGCGGCATGACCGCTTCCCCACCCGGCGGCGGCGGCGGCAGCGACGGCGCTGCTGCTATTGCGGCTGTAGCCGCCGCCAGGCCGGCGGTCCCGCTGCTGGAACCGGGTCGAAATGGCGAGGCGCCGCCGCCGCCGCTGCTACTGCCGCCGCCGCCCGCCGCCGCGGCTTCTACTGCCATCCTCGCTGGCGCCGCCGGCAACAGCCTGCCTGTCGTGCTGAGTCGTACACCACTGGCTAGCGCACGGCTTGCAACAGCGTATCCCAGCTCCGTTAGCCGACCCGTAGCGGTGGCGGATGTGGCTGTGGCGGCGCTGCTACTGCTACTGCTACAGCCGATGGCAGGGGCCCCCGGCAAGGCGCCCGAAGTAGGGGGCCTACGGTCGTTGGGACCAGAACCGGGAGTTGCGACGGCGGCGGCGGTGGCGGCGCCGCCAACGTCACCAATTTCACCCGTAGCGGTATCAGATGCCACCGTCACCGCGGGCGATCCGCCGCCGCCGCCGCCGCCGGCCCCGCCGCCATTCATCTGCAATACACTGCGTAGCTGGTCCACCGTCAAGGTCTTGCCTCCGCCGCTGCCGCTACTGCCGCTGGTCTGCGCTGGCCGTACACCGCTAGTAGGGCGAGTTCCTCCACCGCCGCGCGATGGAAGAGATGGCGGCGGCGGCGGCGGCGGCGGGCCCCCTCCTGGCATCAA